GCACTTCCCATGTACCTGTCGGAGCTACGTCGGATGTGAGCTTTTGTTACCACGAGTTTTAGTTCACAGACAAGAAGGGCTATGTCCTCACAGCCTGTGGAAGAGTGCAGAGGAAGATCTCCAATCTGGGGTGTAATGTTTCATGGGGTTTGTAATGGTTAGTGCAGCAGCCTATGGAAGTGGTTCTCAAACTGTGTCTCAGGGACTGCTTGGAGTGTTCTTAAAGGCATGCTGGGGTGGACATGTAAAAAAAAAAAAAAAGGAATAGTTTAAAGGAATAGTTTAATATTTTGGAATGAGATAAGAAGATTGATACCATTTTCCAATAGTTATTGCACTGGTCGGGGGCTATTTTTGACTGCAGATTTGGTGCACTAACAGGACCATGTATATGGGATAGACTCTGGGATAGTGCTCTCCTACTTTAATGCGCAATGACTGAAGAAAGTGGGGCTGGAATAACTCTTGCCATCCATCCCTTCCATTACACCGCAAGCTGTAGAAACTTGTGTAATTGTTATGTAAAGTGTTCCCGGATATTCCTAAGGACACGAGGGGGGGGGTCCTTGACACAAAAAAAAGAAAATTGACCTATGTGACACTGCGCCTGAGGAGCACCGCAATTTTATCACCGATTTCCTACCTGACAGCAGTTCAGCAAGAGTCTCTGTCCAATTCAAGCGAAGACTTTCCTCCAGAGGCCAAAAGCCTGTTTCATGGAAACCATGAAAGAGCTCTGGTGGAAAGAGAAATTAGGTTAGGTTAGGTTAGGTAAGAGTTTTTATTTTTTTTTAAAGAGATCCGGAGGCAAGTTTTTCTATTAGTGTTTTATGAGTTGATTTTCTTCCACTCATCACATATGACTGCCATCCTGGATCTCGTCTATAACCATTGACAGGTGTGGAAAGGCGCTGTGACTGTTTTTACTCCAGACCAGTGGTGGGTAATAGAAGTCAGCTGGCCTGTATACCCCGACATTACGATGGATATTAGAAGTTCAGTGTCTGCAGGAAATTGGAGGATTTTCCTGCAGACAGGCAGTGTCAATGTAACTAGCATCCCTATACCATATGCATATGAATCATCTTTAGTTAATAGAGCAGTCACATGAATGAGCAACAGTTGGTTGTGCAAGCAGTGATTTATTCTACTGACTGTGGCTGTAATTTCTGAGATTAGTAAAAACACCAAAAGAAGAATCCCTGAAGGGATATGATCATTTTATGTTATCCCTCTCTCGTTTCTATTTTTACAACAGGCCGCAAAATATGAACTTTGAAAATAGCACATGTATCCTGTCATGTCATGCTCTAGAGATCGAAATTCTTGTGTGATAAACACAGAGTCTTTTGTTTTACTCTCATGTCTTGGGGAATTGGGGCCAGCTGAATGCAGGAACCTTTGTCCAGGCACAGCTGGATCCAATAAGTGCATGCCCTGGTGCTGTGTTTACCCATTCCATACATTACAACAGGAAATTTAGAGAAAAGTTCTATTCATCCTTGTTAGGTAAGTCCAAATTAGTGATACTAGTTTCTCTCTGTTTCTAATATGTTGCCGCCTCAGGATGGAACCGTATAAGTTCTAATTAGGGCAATGTTTTGAATAGGTTTAATGGTTACACAACAGTTACTGATCTCAATTGACAAACCATGAGATCAAATGAATAAACACATTTGAGCTGAAACAGTAGTCAATTAAAATGAATAGAAAATGAATAGAAAATTAAGTGACAAATATTAACTGGTGCCAGGTTCTTTGTTTTCAGTGATTTAAAACTAAATATAAAGGGGATTTGGACTGTCGATTTGGATGCACAACATATATCAGGTAGGCCTTATGTTCAATGAAATTATTGGCTATCAGTGTCGACTGAAAAAAAACATACAAACATCCCTACTTCGGACAAAACAAGCAATTTACATATGTGAACTTTGGGACTCATTAGGGTCATTTTGGGTTGAGTTTGGTTCTTAAAGAGGTCACTATTTTCTGATGTTTAGAGGCCAAACAATTAATAAAGCAAATAATTGGGAGACTAATCAATAATCAAAATAATCATTAGTTCTTACCCGAAAATAAAGACAATATATGGAAAGTTAGTTAGTCAGTAAGTTAGTTAGTTTTTGTTTTAGGGAAATGTAGGATGTTGTTTGTCACATTTGCCCAAAAATAAATATATTACAAAATAAAATTAGTGTTGTAAACAAAAACAAAAACACTTGCAGTATTGCATACAGGAAATTTCTTCTTTAAAGCTTAGAAGACATTTACAAATAAATTGACTTACAAATGATATAATGTATAATGTGAAAGTGGTTGCTACTAATGACACAAACAGAATTATCACTTAACTCTACATTTGTCCTCTGTGTAGCATCTTAGCATCTAAAAGCTCATTGGTTTGGTTTTTGGCCCACATTTTTTTTTACAGTTTTGGTTCAGTCTCACCGCTCCCACCTTTATGAACACCTGCCCAACACCAAACACCAGGCTCACAAAGGTAGCAACTAGCTATTAACACAGTGGAGCATTTAACTGCTAAAAATCTAGATTTTTCCCTCAGGAGATGGTAGATATGAAAAAAGAGAGTGACTATTGAAATAAAATTCTTTGAGTTAACCAAAACATGACCCAAAATGAATCATAATGTCACCCTGTGTTTGCTCAATGTGTGAGTAGGCAAACACATTCCTGTATCAGCTTTACAAGGTGATGTCAGATCTGTGTTTACAGCTTATTCTGCTACCCCACATGTCCAACAAATCAATTAATGCTGGTGTTAAGACTTAAAATAAAAAAAATCTTATTTACATTATCTTCTACCAGGTCAGAGTCAGCCTTTACAGCACAAAGAGATAGCTTTTTACAGAAAAAGGAAAAGAGTGCTGCTTTGAAACTTCAAGTTTTACAGCTCAAATCAAGGTTTCACAAAGGGTTTTGTCCATACAAATAATGCATGATGAAATATCAGGAGCATTTAGGTTTTCATGAATGGCAGGTTGTTATTAAGGACATGTTTTGCTGTTTGGGTTAAGGTCAAGTTGTATTTAAATTAATGCATTTCCATGGCCACAGGTCTGTTACATCCATCTGAGGCACTATGTTAGACTGCAGCAGTTCACACATTTAATGCATTAGGCATCTTTACAGCTAAGAAGACATCATAAGTCAGACCATGGAGCACAATATTGCAGTGATGTGGTAAGCCAAGATTCTCATTTTCTTTCCTTACTTCTCAATAAAATGGTAATGATAATAATGAAAAGCAAAAGCGCTTGAACACAAAGTCTGAATCTTTCCGAAGGCCACATTAGATGTGGTAATTATTGCCAATTCCTTACCCCGCAGAGCTGCAGAAAGACAGACGCTGCTGCCAAGTTGGAGGCATTGTTGTGGTGACATTTGAGTGGAGGATCAAACCGCTGATGAATAATCCATATTGAAAAGCTGCTCTTTCTGCCAAATGTCAAACAGCAGCAGGAGCCATTGTTTGAGGAGCGGACTCTAAAACTTTTATTCACCATTGTCACAATGCTGTGTCACTTACTGTAGAGAATGTGGCATTGCAGGGCGCACTGAACATACAGTTATTTATAATCTGAAGACTTTAAGGACTGTTGGATTAGACCCACATATTGCTACTAATGTAATTCACTGTTATTTTTCCTTCGTAGATTGTTTAATTTTAATCATTTTTGGAAGCCTAGAGGGACAAAACAACCAAGTATCTCTCAAGAAAATAGCAATGTTTTAGAAAAATAAACATCATTTTATTCTTGACCTCTCAGTTTTATCTTGCCCTCGGCACCACTATGAGAATACAATTGTATTGTGTCTTTGCATGCATCATCATCATAGCAGTCTATAAATTCCCCTCCTGTTCTGGACAATGAAAGGGGGATCTGTAATGGAGAGGCCCCACTAAGAGATCTCACTGCAGTGCCTCATCTCACGAATCTAGAAACCTTCACTCTCATCCTCAGCCAGGCCTTTCCACATTCATCCTCTGCTAGTATGAGCCAACATCAACTTCCTGCTCCTTTCTGACTGTTTACTGCAACAGGTTAGAAAGATAGAGACAAAGATCTTAATGCTGCTGTTAATAAAGAACACATTATAGTATTTTGTGCGCGCTGTAACATACCTGATTAACTTTCCATCCACACATAAACTAGCAGAGTGATTCTATTTAGCAAGCCACAAAGCCAGGCCATGTTTCGGGGCTTGCAGCAAGTCTCCATGTGAAAAAATATTTTTGCATTAACCACAGACGGCCTTCAATTGGTCAAGCTGTACAAGTAACATCTGATTTGGACAGACTAGACAAAACAAATTAGTGAGTGCCTGCAGTCAGTACAGAGCGGACTTCAATGGATCCAACAGAGGGTGCGCTGTTCCGACAGAGGTCCACCGCCCCCAGGGCTTCCGTAAACACAAACACAGCACCTGGCTTTCTACATGCAGGCTGAAAACAGGCCCACTGTACACAAATATACACCCCTGCCCATCCATTTCCTCACGTCATACACTGACTCATGGCACAGATGCTGCAAGTGGATCCAGTCAGTCCCAGCAGGCTTTGGTGTTAATTTTGGTGGTGACGGAAATTAAGCAGGGTTTCAATGGACTGTGTTCTTGTCTACACTGTCTGACTAAAGGCTATTTTTTCCCAGATACCTTTTAGAGGTAGTTTTTTATTTTACATTTCATTCACGTATACAGATGTAACAAGACTGAAGCTGCTGTATGCATCTAGAAAGTGCTTGTCGGATGGTCAAAAAATCAAGTGACAGCACGAGATGAGAAGTCAGGACATCACCATAGTTATTCAAATTCATCCTTTTGGGACGTCTGTACAAAATGTATGGCAAGCCATCCAATAGTTGTTGATAATATCAATACATATAATAAAATGGTGAACCAACCTGACATCGCCATCCCTAGAGACACACTTTGAAGTTGAAAATGTTTTGCTTATCTGTGTGTATCCAGAGGTGCTCTTTTACAAAGACATCAAAAGTGAATGCCCTGCAAACTGCAAAGACACTGACCCTTCATATGCTGTAAGTGGAAATAAATTGCATCACCCTGCCCAGGAAACTTAAAGGAAGTCTGAATCACTGAACTTCCCTTGAGTAAGCATTGTTCACTTCATTTGTTTTGTTTTTCCCCTAAGTCACAGTCAAGAAACTCAATTCCCAAGACTTTCCACTCTCCAATTCCCCACAGCACTGGTTGTCTGAAACTAAACCCTTGTATACCATAGAAGATGTATATGCAACTTCCCAGCTGTAATTCACCTATTAGTCTTATAGATCAGTTCTTATCAACAAAATGTTGATGAATGATGTGTTTAGCCTGATTATTTCTGGGCTGTACAACAGTGGACACTTCACTAGCCAGGCCTCACGTGACTGTACAGCTAAAGCACCAAGAGATATGATACAGTAACCTACAAAGGCCTGAAAGGGGAAAACTGTTTCTCAAGCAAACCTGTAAATTCCTAACAGATTGAGCTTCTATGATTGAAGGCCTTGTTTTTGGAAGAGCGGTTGAAAGAAGCTTGTAACACTGCAGGATTTGTTTCAGGTGAAATACAGATAACATTAGCAGATGAACAATGGGGTCACTGATCTGAGATTTACTTGTAACGGAGAAGCACGAAGGCCTTATCGAAGGAGTCTGTGAATTACAGTGCGGCTCTTGTTTTCCAGCTTATGCTCAGCCAGGCATGATGGTGTAACACTTAGTTTTGTGCTCAATCTACAACAAATGTGGCTGTTGAGATCTTAGAAGATCTACAGTCAAAAAGAAAAGAAACTTGGGCTCTTTATAGTGCTGATAGCAAAATCTTACCTGGCTTATCTGTAAGACTTTAGATACCAACAATTGACCTTACAAAATAAGACACCCAGAACCAGACATCTTGTCTACAGAGTTTTAAATGTACACCACCACAACACAACAAATAAAGGCATTTTCAGTCTGATACGGCAGAGCAGAATGACTTTTGCAGATGTAATCTTCAGGTGCGCCAGTCTAATTTATCTGTCATCCTCTGGGGCTTCGGAGAGCGTCTTTATCGGGGTTCCGCAGAAAGGAATTCGCAAAGACTGCAGATGAAATATGGAGGGATTGGTTTCAGCAGAATCACTACTGGCAGCCCTGAGAGGAGGAGATAATTACCACTTTGACAAGCTTTGATCATAGGTTCAGTTATTCTCAGAACGTCAGTGTTGATAGAACAATGAGTTGACGGCCTCAAAATGCAGATGAATTTGCCCTAGTTTTTCTTCCCCCCCATCATACATTCTGAATAGTAGCTCTGTCTAGCACATGAAGAGACAAGAATGACAAAATGAGGGTAGTTGACGTGGCATAGATTAGCTGTCCATAACTCTCTTTTGATTTGTAGAAGTGGAGAAAGGAGATTGGCTACTGAAATGTTCTGAAGGTCCATGACCTGTAAATACCGTGGGTGGAATGAATCACTGTGGTTTTCGTCAGGAGGCAGCAAATTATTCAATAAAATGACAGAGGGATCAGTGAGCCTTGTGCTGGAGTCAGTTTTAGCAAAGTAGGAGGTACACAGTCATGAGGGGTAATGGTGGTGGGAAGAAGAAGAAAAAAAACTCAAGGTGAAGATGTAACCTCACCACAAAGAAGAAAAGTTCCGTTTATTGAGATCTCTTTGAAAACGCATCCAGACCACAGCGCAGCCCTAAAGCAAACATGCCTCCTACACTACCTGCCTGAGCTAAACTCAGATGCAGCATTTGTTAGCAGGGCCACCCAGTTATAGGAAGGAAGAGATCTGTGAGTGTGTGTGTGTGTGTGTGTGTGTGTGTGTGTGTGTGTGTGTGTGTGTGTGTGTGTGTGTGTGTGTTTGTGTGTTTGAAGATCAACCAAGCCAAATGAGTCAGGTTTTTTCCTCTCGAAACCTCAAAATGTAAACAAAGAATCTTATGAGTTCTCAAGTCAGTGCTGTGTATGCTATGTAGGTTCTCATGGTTTGGAATTGGGATCTCTCAGTCCTGCAGGATTCATTTACATTTAACCTGCTCCTGTATTCTACTCATTAGCCCTGCACTTATGATGTTCTCCTGAAGGCTCAGATGCCTCATCGGGAACTGCGTCCTGCATAACAAGGCCCCCATGATGTCGTTTCCACCCACATCACTGATGCCGTTTCTGTCCAGATCCACCTGCTGCAGACTCATGTTCTCTTTCAGCATATCGGCCAGCAGTCTGACCCCTGGGTCCCCCAAGTTGTTCTCGTCTAGGATGATCTGACTCAGCGAGCTGTTTCCTTTGAGGCTGTCGAAGAGTTCCTTCCATGCCGCCAGGTCGGCACCGCTGGTCTGCGCCAGCCCTAAATACTGAAGGTACGAGTGGTGCCTCATATATGATGCTATCACCTTTATCCCGTCGCTGCTCAAGCCATTTCCCCCAATATCCAGTTCTAAAAGCGCAAAACCCCTGAAAGAGCTCCATCCGGTGGGCAGCTGCAGAAGCGTGTTCTGCTCAGATGGGAAAAGCATGGCCTGTTGGATGGCAGCAGCAGCTCTCGCTGTTTGCTCCTGCAGCTCAGCTATTCCATTCAACAGGGTCAGCACTCCATGGTCACGCAGTTTGTTTCCAAACAAGCTGTAGAGAGAGAGAGAGAGAGAGAGAGAGAGAGAGAGAGAGAGAGAGAGAGAGAGAGAGAGAGAGAAAAAGTGGTAACCATGGAGATTCTGAATCCTCTGTGAAGTGCTCATTTCAAACCCTGATATTAAGTTTCCCCTTATTAAGCTACAAAAGGCTTTTTTCTTTCACCTTGTTTGACAGTGTCACATGAATGTTTTGTATCTGCTTGTTCTGCAGCTTCAAGACCATTATATCTAATATAAAAGTTCTGCATGTCTTATGGCTGATTTCACATTTCCCTGTTTTATTATTATTTGGAATTTTTATTCAAAAGAAGATCTAAGGATTTGTTTGAAATTATGCATCCAGGGCTACTGTCGAAATCTATGCATCTAAACATCATTTAGTTAAGACTTTAACTCTTACAGGGGCATTCTGCACTGTTCTGCACAATAAAGGAATAGTTCAACATTTATGGTTTGTTTAATTAATACAAAAACCAGTAGTAGTATAAAAGCGGAAATTCACAATTTTACAACTGGTATGTGAATGTTTCTTGGCTGACACCAGTAACTTCCTGTAGCCTCCGTTGGTTGCCTGACAACTGCTCAGAGCAGTTGGGCTGAGCTAAGCTAACCAGCTGCTGGCTGTAGCCTTATATGTAATGGAAAGAGATTGGTATCAATCTTCTCAAGTAACTCTCCGCCAGGAAGCAAAGAAATGTCAGACTATTCCTTTAAGCCCCACACTTCTTTTGAAATGTATGTGGTGAAGAGCTGCGCTTTCTCTGCATCTCGCATATGTCAGCATGCACTGTGAGTCTCTACATCCATCAGTACATCTCTGGAAAAATGGCACAAAGACAAGCTCTTGCACATTAACTGTATTTTGTGGGGGGGAAAAGGTGAGGCACTGGAGGCATTTCTTGTTCACATAAAAGAGATTAATTGTGTAATTCAACAGTGAAAGGCTAGGATTTTATGCAGCAATGACAAGGCTGTCCTTGGATTAGCTGCGTCTTTTTACTGTCTCTTTTATTATGTTCTTTTCTAAAGTCACACTTTTAAAAGGCCAGTGTTCCCAGATCTGCTTGTGATTCAGTGTTTTTTTTCCAAATTAAATTGTTCTTTATCTCAGATTTTGTCGTAATGCAGGCCAGTGGTGCCTGGGACTTACTGTAAGCCTTTGACCTGAGGCTTCACTCTCAGAACGTCCAGCAGGATGTGAGCACCATATGGGCCAATGAGGTTCAGGTTGAGGTTGAGCAGTGTGACCTCGGACAAGCTGCTCTTTAGGGATCCCGCCAGGCTCAGTAGAAGGTCGTCTGTTAGTTCCGTGTTCCTCAGAACCAGCTGCTCCACCTCATCGGATGTGCTCAGCACTGTCATCATGGCATCAAGCTACACTTACAAACCAAGAGAAAGTCATACTTTTGGATTTGTTTGGCTTAGTGTAAGAGATCAGAACAAATTTCAATTCCAAAAGTTAAGACATATCTCCAAAAGGTTTGTCACTAAAGAGATGAAAGAAATGATGGATATGGATTTTAGAGTTTACCCACTTGGCTTCGGAGAGATTTCTTAAGGCCAAGGATTGTAGAACAATGAAAACATGTTGCTGAAAGATTTTACAACAACAACAATATATTTATATGTTTTTTTTCTGTTCTATAATCCTGGTGGGAAATAGTCTCTCGCCGTACAAATAAATGATACTGATAGAAATATCTTATACAACTTCCAGTTCACTTCAATCACCAGACAGCAGGTTTTTGTGAAATACAGAAATCCCATTTTGTAGCACAGATAGATTAATTATTTCGCTCATGCAGAAACACATAAATTTACAATACAATACATTTTGCATCACTGCCCTGAGAGAAGAGTATTGTTAACGTTAAGTAGTCACTGTTTGTGTGCGAGAGCAGCATAGCTGGGCCGGGAATGAGACGTGAGCAGGACAGGTGCTGGAGGTTTTCTAAACACAGAGACGGGGTGAGAGTCCAGAAAGACATATGGTCTGGCTGTCGGCCACTTTGCTAGACCTTGAGGAATCTTTCGGGCACTGTTGGAGGCTCTTTCATCATTACGGGTACGACCAAGCCAAACGCCTGCCTGTCCCAGATAAAACTCAGTGACCATTTGTTACAACCGTTTGTGTATTAACCTCACGATAGTCCTTTAAGGAAGAAGAATTGATTTGTGAATTATTTGACTTTTTATCAAACAAATCGTACATACTGATAACATAATGCCCTTTTCCTGTTGTTGAAGTAGATTTTATGTTTTTGAGTTGTGTGAAATAGATACACACTGACACTGAAATATATTTTCACCCCTGCATCATCTTATTTAAATGCTAATGTCTGAACGGATGACAATTGCTTCTTGAATTTTCAAGATCGGGGGGGAAGGCTGAAAACTATTGCCTGGGTCCGAACCTTTGAATCTGCCCACTCGTGGAGTTGACTGATTCTGGTCTGGTACCATGACATGAAACAGCAATTTCTCAGTTTAAAAAGTATCCATCCAGTGAGGACTAACACATAGCCAATCAGAGCCACTGGCAGGACTAAGACCATTTTCAAGCTGTTATAAAGCATTGCCTAGCTCGGCTGAGGAGTAATAACAAAAATGGCGAACGCTATAGACAAGGTATGCATTGCTATAGAGCGTGTCTCCTCATTATTGCCAGATGTTGTAGTTTGCTTTTACATAGCACCACTCCTAAAACCCCTGTAAAACCAGTGTGTAGTATGGCTACGCACCAGTGTCAACTCAAAATAACTTCAGATTTAAGCAGATATGTTGTTCTCTAGTGATTGGTTAGGGAAAATCAAATACCTCTCACCCGCAAATTGGTTATAGTGGAGGTAATGTAAGAATGAAGATGGAAATTTGACAATCCGATATCAGGCAATAAAAACTACTTAACATTAATGGGTTATAAACCCCTTAAAGGACAAATTGTTTTTATATTAACACTTTATTATATTATTTGGCAATTCAATTCTATCACATAATGCAGGGATGTCGGTATTTCAAGGGCTTTTGGCAGGGATTTAATGCCAAGAGTGTTTCTGGCAGAAACACAGATTCACCACAGTAATTTGTGTTAGTACACACACCTGCGCCTGCAGGTCTTGTTCTTTAACCGGCTCTTCTTTGCCAGCACCCTGGCTGTCTGCGTCCTCTTCTTCCTCTGGCTCTCCATCAGGCTGTGGGACGGTGTCACTTTCTGCACTACGCTCCACATCTGAGCCTGGGGCTTGGGGTGGGCACGATGAGAGTTTCTTCTGGAGCCGGCACCTCTCCAATACTTGGCATACAAAGGGAAAAAAACAACAATTCAGGCGCAATAAAACTGTCTCTCCTAAAGCCAAGTGCACACAGTGATATTAATACCCACTGTTGATGTGAGAATGCAAGTAATGAAATCTAATATTCAGTCTGAGCATTCATGGTCAATAGACAAACAGAGCTGCCGCAGTGAGATGTATGCATGCATGTGTGTGTCTGTGCGAACAATGTCTGCATAACCTCTCTCACACGTCATCCATTTTCCTTCAAGCAGACACTGTTCGATGTATCACTTTATTGCAAATTCAACATTTTTTGCTAATGTGTATTATGTAAATCAGTTACAGCACTCCAGGGGGATTCCAGTTCGTTCCTACTGTGCTGCGGTTTCTTTACTCACTGTTTGCCTTGAACCAGTTGTGTTTGTTTGGGCCCTGCTCCAACGCAGCACTTATTTCCACACATTCTTCATAGAAGTCCTTCAGTCTTTCCCCATCTCTGTTTTTCTCATTTGATCCCAGGTCCTTCTGTTTCTCTCCATTCTGCTTAGTCAGAGCTTCCTCATCCTGCAATGAATCTTTAAAAAGAAACACTCTTGTTGTTTCCCATTTTTTTCTTCCACAAGGAATATTAAATGGAAATACCGCATGTAGATGGACTGAAGGTCATCTGTAGCTTCACTGGAAGATTTCATTCTGTTTTTCCGGCATCTCTTACAGGACTGAAACCAGCAAGGATGAGTAACAGTGCTCACCGAGAACTTTGCTTGTCTTGTTCGATCGCGGCTGCTCAGTCTGCAGCGCTGTGACACTTCTGGTTTCTTTCTGCTTTGGTCTGGCAGACGGTGCTTGGTCTTTATATTTTTCTGTCACTGTTGACCTCCGCGAGACCTCCGAGCCCTTACTGTCTCGTCCCTCTTCGCTCTTATTTCTGGCTGTCTTTCCTTTGCTCTCTCTCTGATTAGTTTGACCCTTGCGTCGTTTCTTCTTGGAGGTCTCTTTAATCCCTGCTACAGTGGGGTCTTCGCTGTCTGTAGATCCTCCGCCGCCTTCCTTGATGTGTTTTCTTGTCCTCCTCACTGACTTCCTCTCTGGTTTGGCTGGGATAAACAGAGGGGATGATGGACATGACTCGATGGTGCCTACATTGGAGACATTAGAGGCTAAATGAAAGACAGAATAAATGCTTTGTGGGACATTTTGTCTTTAAACTAGTCCATTAAAATCAAGGACTGGGCCTAATGTCAAAAAAATGTTGATGAATAAGCTTTAGGAAGAAATGGAAAATTGAGACACTCACTTCCAGGCTTTGTACCATTGCCAGGGCTCTGCTCTAGAGGGAGAATTAAGTTCTCCTTTGTGCCGTTGTTCAGCTGCTGGCAGGAGCTGTATTTGTTTCGGAGACTTGTACATCTGAAAAAATGAAAAATGTTCTTTTATCATGACTCATATTTCCTCCCCTGTACCACCACCAACATCATTCCCGATCATGTCATGCAATATGCATCCTTTTTCCTCCTCTGTCAATACAACAATACATTATATTTACAGAGCAATGGGTTTACCCAATCTGTTTTGACTGGAACTAATTTCTAATTTTCTACCAATGCTATGCTGTCCTTCTCCCAGAGGAAGAAATCTGACCTGTAACAGGGTATCCCACCAGCCAGCCAAGACAACCTGAAGCAGCTCTTCCTGCCCTGCTGGAAGCCGGGAGCATATCGGTACTCACAGCAGGAACTGATTCTGGCCACCATGATGCCATTAATGTACAAGGTAACACTGAAGGGGTAACCTCTGTGTCTCTGAGAGACAAACTGAAACTGCTCTGAAAGATACAAAGAGAAAACATTGCTTGAATATTGAAGATGATCATGTTTGACCTTTCTAACAGATTCAGCATGGTCATCTGCTGTCTTGTTTGGCTTATGTTGCTGTGAATGTCAGCAGGTTCAGGGATGGTTTCCCTTGGGTTAATATGCTCATGGTGCAAGAAGCATCCAGAAAATAGCATACAGCATTCCTAATGTATTTCACCTTGACCTTTGATAGCCTGTAGGGGTGGAATTATGTTCAGTTCACAACAAAATTATTAAGTTATCATTATCATTTTGACGAGGCATCAACATAGGCTACTGGATTTATCTGTTAAGCTGACAATGGCAATTATCACCAGTGAGGGGAGCTCCAATGCCAAAAGCTCAGTGACAATGATGATTCAGAATTGTCAGTTCAGCTTGTGGATCTCATATTATGCAAGAATTTTAACTTAAAACATTCAAAAATGAACTAAAATGATCACTTCTATGTATTTTGTTGCAGAGATATCTAATGAAGTTAGCATGCTAACCAGCCTGCTTCGGCCCATCCTGTCTTGTAATACCACTTTGCACCTCAAGAGCCAATAGTCAGTGTAGCGCTGCCCCAAAAACCATGTTTGGCTGCAAAGAAAGATGTGATAGAAACAGAAGGTCGCAGCATTTCTTCTACACTGGTAAGTAAATAGCTGTTAATGCTAACATAGCAATAGCTTATAAAGGTAGCTAATTGTATAATGTTACTGACAATTTTTATATGTTCCCTAAATTATAGTTTGTTGAAAGAAAGAAAGACCTATGGGAGGGAGTGTCCTTGTTTCTTATACTGTCAATGGTTTCTTATGGTGTGATATGCTGCCCCCAACTGGTCTGGAGTATGAATTTGACAGGTGCCAATTATTTTGTATAACTCCTTTAAAGATACGTTCATACTTGTACTGAAAACCTGTATTGCGTAATGTCTGGGAGCTATAAGCTTTTCAATCAAAGAGCGATGTCCTAGTTCTATTTCAATAGACAGCAGTCTGTAATTATGTGAGGTTTTATTTTTCTTGCAAGCCCCCAGTTGGGAAAAGTATGTCACACTAATTTAAAAATTAAACACCAAAATCAGACTTTATCAAGTCCCATTTAGGAACAATTGAGTGGAGTAAGACTGAAAGGAAGAGCAACATCTGAGATGTCCAATTCAAGAGGACTGTTATGTCGCTCTGACATCATGCTCAGTCTTTTGTAAACCACTATCAGACAGTCATTGTTATTGTCTAGAGAAGCTCTAAGAGAAAAATGAAAAAGAAACTAAAAAAAATCTGATATGCTTAGAGTTTAAAGGTCTCATTCACCTAAATTACTAAAGAAATATATTGCTTGTAGTGCTACTGTATCAATCTATACAGATAAGTTTGGTTTATTTCCCCAGGTTTTGAGATATCTATCTGCGTTCTGTTTCCACCCCAATACAATAAAGGTAAATTATATTTTGTTTTTTGGTGCTCGCAACATTGAGAAATTACATTTAAAAAATTCAATAGCAACAATTCTTTCCAGTGACCCTGTAATTCTGGGCAATCCCAGTGAGCCCACTGTCGAAATCTTTCAGACTATTTCTTCATTAAAGATTAATTCCAATAAAAACTGTTCACACCAAAGTCACATACCAGTGTAACCAATATATGTACATGGAATACAGTATACTGCATGTTTAACGTATATTAAAAGGTAAACATTTCCAAATTCTATATAGACTGTTTGGAATCGAGTTATGTGCATTGTCTTCTCCTTTGTTTTATTCCTTCATCTTACAGAAGATTTTGTAAACATATCACACACACAGTTCCAAGCAGAAATCCATATCTTCTTTCTTCGCCTGACATTGCGATTCCCTCCGTGCAGTGACGGCTGTACAGTGTGTATCAACATGTACCAGCTGAAAAGATGAAATAACTTGTCTTGTCCACTGACTTTTTTATGTGATGGTAGTCTATCAGGTCACACATCATCTTTCCATTCCTGCTTAGCTCAAATACTGCTTCAGGCCAACATCCTCATCATCATCTTTTTTACAATGTTGCTTTGAGGGCAGAAGAGTAATTAAATGTGTGAAAAGACGGGGAAACTAACACCTCTAATTTCACTCAATTATTCTGGGCTCGTTTTATGCGGGAGAACAACCTAAGGTCGCCTATAGATGGTTGAAAATTACTCTAATAACAAAGACATTTTGAAGACTTTAGATTTTTTTTCAATTGTATTTTTAAATTCTCTTTTGTGCACATTCTTGGCCATACTTAGCAACTGCTTTACATTTCACAGCTCCTACCTCCTGGAGTCAGCAGGCCTTTGAAGACACAGATATTCTCCCCTCCATTGACTTGCTGGAGGACCTTCAGTTCATCCTGAGTTGACCCCAACACTGAGCCCCGATGACCTTGTCCAAGGTAGATCATTGTCACAGTGACGTTGGATTTCTTTGCCTCTTTTTGTGCCCTTAGGTTACTCTGGTGTGGAGAGAGAGGAAAAGGTTTGCCTTCGAAAAGAAGCTTCTTGTGTGCATTTTTATGTCAGATTACCTGTTTTTGAGGGTGGCCTCCAGTTCTCTGAGAGGCTACTGAGGAGAAAGATCCTCTTCTTTTGTCGTACAGGTAAGGGCAGGACTGAGTTAGAGCCCCTTTGATGGAGTTTAGACTTGACGCCTTCGTTGTGATGGCTGGGAGGTAGACACCGTCCTTACCAGTTTTGCTAGAACGGGCTGTTGAATCATCCAGCTACATTGGGTACAATGCAAAAATTAAAGGGGTGAATTCATCTTACAACAGCATAAAAAGCCTACTTTTCCTCATTTGCACCTAACTGACCAAAAAACATAAGCAACGTCATTATGTAAGATAACATACTGTATATTTCTTTCTCTGTTAGTGACTTTTTGACAAAGGAATCAATATATGTAATGGGTAGCCTATATAAAATATCAACATGATGTATTTATTATTTGGAAGTCTTCAAACTCAATGTGTTGCAACAGGAAGGGTTACCCCTTCAATACTACAATACTACACCATATTGTGTTTTAGGTGAGGAAAAGTTTTTTATTATGATTTTTTACAAAACACAAACACACTGAGGCCGTGGCACAAACAGCATTGAAGAATTACATTTAAAAAATTCAATAGCAACTTTTCTTTCCAGTGACCCTGCTACTCTGGACAATCCTTCTTTAAAAATGTATTCCAATAAAAACTGATCCCAACTGTTCTTGTTGGCATTATGCTGATTTCTAACAATATTAAAAATATTGAAATTAAGATTAGTTAGTTACGTATTTTGAGTACCACATGTACAGAAAAAAAACGCAAAATCTGCTCCATCAGCCTCTCCATTATTCCTCATCATTTCTTTGTGTTTTAGTTTCAGTTAGAGCTCTCAACCTGTAACAAAGTGAAAGTGTCATAATAGTAATACGCTGTTCAAAAAGCCTGATGCTGACCTTGTAGATCTCCACAGTGTCAGGATTCTCGAGGAGGAGGAGTTTGCTCTTCGCTCTGATCAGACTGGCAATGGAGTGGATCATTTTAGCATCTCTACCAGGCTGAGCTGGAATCTGTAAAACATTGAAAAACCCCTTTCTTACTCTTTTAATCCATTAAAAAGGATGTTCTGTTACGTAACCAATAATAGTCACAGTAATATTATTACTTAGAAGAGTTAAACAATCATTAATAAAGCTGTGGAGTTGACAGTCAGGATTATGGATCAGACACAGACACTTACAGGAGTATCTCTGTCTCCTCCATGGACTCCTCGATAAAAGAGATCCTGAAGCAGAGTCTTGCTGTTTCTCCTGTTTCTTCTCATTGATTCTAACACAGGACAGGATACAGATACAACTGCCCATCGGCACAGACAGAAACAGCAACATACAGACTTTAACATGAAATATATTTTTATTTTAGAGTGAAAACAATGCTTCAATTTACATACTTATGTGGAACTAGAGGCAGTTGTGAGTGTTCTGCTGATATTTTTGTAACCATGATGATTAGCACCTTGCATTACACAAAGTAATAATGGGCTAATATCTTGTTAATAACATTTAATATAGGCATTGTATTGTGGTATTTACAGAGGTAATAACCAGGTATAATCCGAAGGAATAGATATTGCACTTATTCACTCTTTTAGCAAGGGTTAGCTTGGTTCTGACCAAAGTTTAAAAACACACCTACCAACACCTCTGAAACTCACTAATTAACACTTTGTATCCCAGTTGTTTAATACCCATTGAATTACGCTGAACTATTTTGGCCAAGCTTGCTGTTATCCGATGCATCTAGTCCTTATGCTAAGCTAGGCTAATTATCTCCTGCCTCTAAGCTTCGTTCTTAATGCACAGAAATCTTCTCACTTGCATTTACAAGCAGCTGGGCTTTGGCCCAGCCATCTTAATTATAACAATAAAAAAAGAGCAAAACAACATCAACATTCATGGTATATGAAGCAAAAACTAAAAAAATAGCAATATTATCCCTTGGATAATAATAATAATAATTGGGTAACAACAGGCTAACATATTGAAAATCATTCTATTGAAGAAATGCTTTTACATCTTTAATTTACAAAACAATACCTGCTGATTAGGAAAGAATCAGAGGTGTGGACTGTGATTCAGAGGTGGGAAATCAGATTAATATTACCCCATTATTAACTTATAACTGAGAATATGTAAATCTACCCATCAGAGTGAGTAGAGCATGTGGAATATAATTCAATCTGGTGAGAATGATAAAAAAAAAAGTAGTGAGATGACAGTTTACAGGTCACTGTGCTCAGTGAATAGAGTCAGGAACAAAATCTTCCCACCTGGGCCTCATGTGCAAAAAACAAGATAAATCGTCCTTGGGGAAGATGAATTAAGATGACATTGATCTTTTTTACTGTACGCCAACAAGTCTCCATTGTTTCCTTCACAGCCTGTCAGTGACTGTACAATATTTGTAACCTAATCGCTTCATCTGCGGCCATGTCATCTGCTGGGCTGAGTGCTTCTGGGACCAGAGGCAGCAGGCAGACAGCCATGTCCTGAGATTAGCAGCCTCTGTATGCATGAGTGCACCTCAGCTTCAGATGATTAGTAGCAAGAAAAAAAGCTTCTGTATTTCCAATGCAGCTCATTTTGAAGGTGGTCATAGCTCCTCAAAATTTTAATTTTAAGCACTTTAGAGCAGTTACCGTACCCTTTCTAGCACCCTTTAACATCTGGAATTGAACCAACTTTTGCAGCTGTAATCTAGTCTCTCTTCAGTTTTGAGGCTATTTAATAATTTAAATGTCTGTGTAGGAGTAACTAATGTCATTCCTCTGTGATCAGAATATAATGCGTCATTTATTCCCTGCCTTTTAAAATATCGATATATCACTGAAAAAAATCTCCAGTACAAGTAAACATCCAGCAATTAGGATGTGACTGAAGTAAAAAAAAATGTATCAAGGGTAAAAGTATTGATAAAGTACGGAGCATTTTGATGCTTTGATGCTTTTTATCTAGTTTAACAATGCATCTTATTTTATGAATGGCTTCCATGTTTCATTAGTACAATCTCAGTCTGCAGTAACTATAGCTTTCAAAGTAGCAGAAAATGAAAATACTCAAGTAAAGTAGAGTACAGTACAGTTACTACTGTACTAGTGTACAGTAGTAAATATACTTAATTACTTTCCACCACTGTGTAAAAATGTGTTGAATAAGTTACTTAACTATTCAATCTACCTAATAGAAAAGATATACGAAGGTATATCACGTTTACAGACATTTGTTCCTTGCTGCTTGTTATGCCTTGTCGATAATAACAGTGCTTTGTAATTATTTCTAATGACCATCTGTAATAAGGAGTTTAAACTCTTCTTTCGTTCTTCCTTGCTCGCTAATTTTCCATCAAAGTACATCACAGGAAAGAGATCTTACCTGTTGTCTCGTCCAGGTACGGAGCTGAATGTCTCTTTCCACCAGGTGATCTGATACATCCACAGCTGTTGATCTCCTGTTCTCTGCTCTCTCTTCACACAGCCAGCTAGTGACACCTGAGCAGTCAACACCTTTGGCACTGGGCCCCTGCCGCCTGACACTGGTTCCTCATCCATCTTTAATCCTCCCTGACCTTTGCTCTATATGCTCTGGCCACATGTAATGTCATTTATAAAGTCATTGCCCATCTTAAGAAACACTTTTGTCAACACCTCATTAGGAATTCATCTGCTGATTGATAGCTTGGAATATTTTTATGTCAGTACTTCGATTTCAGCTTTGTACATGCTGTCCTAAGTAGGGTTTGGCTGCTTTTTTCTTTTTTCTTTTTTTCGTTGACTGATGCTGATGCCGATATTTTAAATGGCTGAACTATCATTAAGTTGCCAAAAGTTGATACACTGTGGCAATTTTCTGCTGTTTAATGTTTGACCACTTCCATGCCAAAAACTTGGCATGACAGGAAAAGCCTGTCAGACAGAATTCAGACCACCATGGGATAATAACTCATTCCTTTTTGGACTTTTTCTGGTGTCTATCTATTAAGCAACTCCACTATAACAATGTGGAATTCATGAAATATATATATTTAAATCAATAATTTACAAAAAAAAAAGAAAATGTACAAAAAAAGGTTATAAAGCTATCTCAACTCAAGGTTTACCTACTAGCTTTTTTTGTGGAGCTTTCAATCATATCACATCCTCAGCAGATTTGATGGAGAGAGATCTGTTGACATGCAAGTTTAATAGCTAATATATAGCAATATTCTGACGTCTCAACCATGTTGGCTTAAGATTATGCATGAGTGCTATAAGCAAACTCCAGCCACTGATAATACAGTTGAAAAATCTAGTAAAGGGGCCTTAAATAAGAAATTGTTTTATCAAACTACTACTTCTAAGGTCAAGAATTAAATTTGATGCTTGAAAAAGGGTATTGCTGCAGTCAATAAAGGAACCTCGACCACCTTAGTGGTTAATGTAATTGACTGGCTAAAATCTGTATTTAACAGGCAGGTTCACCTTTAAATAAAACCTTTTTCAATCTTCATACGTGCATCTGGCTAGAAAAATGGTGAATCCTATCCTTTAAACAGTGAATTTGTAAAAAGCAAGCTCAAGGTCGACTCACTAGCTTTTCAGAGCTTTCAGCCATAGCACATATGGCATAGCACATGCTTAACCTTCAAACCAAAAAATTGCTATGGATAAAATCGTAAGAGATACAGAGCTTTCATGTCAACAGATCTATGATGGTGTTGACATGTCAACTACATCCACTGATGAAGACTGTGTGATGCAGATGATGCAGATGAAAACAGTAGTGTGACTGCTGTCACACTACTGTTTGACAAAACAACTATATCCAAGGTCAAAATTGAACTTTCATGGCAAAAAAAGAGGTTATATTGCTGCAGTCAGAAAGGACCTCAGTCATGTGGCTAAAATCTGATTCTTAGTCAGTCACATTGGCAAATTATTTCTATAATAAGTGCCATGATAGTTGAGACTGTACACAGCTGGTTGACAGACATACCGAGGAAAAATATATGAGAAGGAATCATCTCATTCATCTGAGGGATAAAGAAAAGTCGGACATGTTATTGCCATCATTTGTATCTCCACCAGTGGATATAAAACACATGAAAACAATTAGAATTGCATTATTTAAAAAAAAAAGAAGCTCATTTAAATGGAGACCATCAACATGTATCATGATCAGTTACCCAAGACTGTGCAGCCCTTGCCATCATGTGGTGTTATTGTTACATAACAGACGTTTTCCTGCTGTTGCCCCATAAAGACCTGCTCACTCTCTCTCCTCTGTGAGCTGTCTGAATGGTTGTACTGTGTGCACGCCTCAGTTCTCTCAAAAAGCCTGACCCTCCGTGCATGCACACATTGGCTCCATGCAGCTTCTTATGTGCCGTGGCACATCCAAAGGGCCAGTGGAGGCCAACGGGCTCCGTCTGCCTGCTGGATCCATTACATCTATAAACTGATAGGGGGTCTTTGGCTTGGCAGTCCAACATTTGCTTCCTGCCATGTTCACTAAAGCAATGTGTCAGTTTATTATGGGCTCGCCACACACCTCCACCCTCTGGTGTCCATGACGTGATGCATTATGTGAGACGTGCAATGCAGGAGGGGTGATTCGTCATTTTCCTCTGCTCAGCATCTTTTGAGGGCTCAGATTTGTAAAAGTAATCAATGGTCAATGTGGAACTACAAGTCACAGCAGTGAATATTTGGAAGTGAGGCCAAATTGATTGTTGACGCTGGAGTTTATAAGCTGTGTTAAAGCTATAGATCATTGTGTTTTATAGACAGATTATGTAATATCCTGCTCTGAGGGGACAGTTTAGATTACTGGCCATTCATCCTGCCATTGTGAGAACCAAAGACGCAGAATATATTTCATTTCCTCCTATTCTTCCTGTTGTATTTAATTTGTTACCAATATAAAGCAGCAGTGGCCTAAAGCGGTGACTCCCAAACTTTCCGGCAAATTAATCAGATGAGCTCAAGTCCTCCTTTATCCTCCCCCCCTCATTAGTTCGGGTTCATGGATGTGGTGGATTCATGTCTACACGTGTGAATACATGATCCAGTGATCCCGGAACATTAAAGCTTGGTCTTTTTTTCAATTTTTTGGGTGGCAGAAGCTGAACCTTTCAACCATTTCCATTACTTTTAGCTTTTTATTTAAAATTTTCTGCTAGATCGGGTGGATCAGGTTGGTGTCCTGAGCAGTCAGCCTAGAGCTGGTAGCTTAATGGTTATTGCAAAAATCAACCGACCAAAGATCACACCAATTTGTTATTCCTTTTATATGTTGATTTTCCTCCTAAACATGAAA